TATGAAAAAAAGGAGCCCGGCCCATGCAGGGCTCTATAAGACACTAGGTACTTAAAAAATTAATTATTAGTCAAACACAGTATACAGTACACACTAACCTAACCTAACCTAAGTTAAATCAAATTCAAAATGAAAAATTCAACAATCGTTATTGTTGAGATAACGAATATAGTTCCATAGAATAGAATAATAATAATAATAACGTATTAATTAATACATATTTTGTATTAGTATAAGGTCTATGGATATACCACAAATTTCTATTTTTATATTATGTAGTATATTCTAGCATAGTCAATAGATTTAAGATTATATTGATTATAGAAAACCCTGCCCGCTTAGACCACAGTGGGCCACCGGCCCATTTGGCTACTTTAAAATCTAGGGTTGGGAAAATACATACTCTTGCCCCCCCCCCCCCCCAAAATGATGCTCCTGCGTGTACTATATGTATATTATATACTATCATTGTATATATACAATTATGATTTTAGGTGCCTTATGATAATTTATGTGTACATAATGTCTTAACCTGAATTTTATTGTAACATGATCTTTACTAAATGGATTTTATAACAAAATAAGAAAACATATCATATTTTTAATGTAAATGTAGGGATAAATGGTTAATTCATAATTTGTAAATTGGTTTTGTACTTACATGATAATATAAAACCTTAAGACAAGAAGAATAAAGACACGTTAATTAATAATATCCATCTAAACTCTAAAGACCAGATGTTTATAGAATAGGCAGTGATCTTAAATAATTATTCATCTTCGTTAAATTTTGATGTGTCCTGTACTTTACTGTACTTTATAACTGAATTTTATATAAAAATATTATTCTTAAAAAAATGTTGATAGTAATTGTGTAGGTGGGAACATTTAATAATCAATATAATCTATGTTATTTTACTTCTATGATATAAACTGTACAACTTATTTTGTCAAATACCTAAACACTATAATATTATTATTAACTGAAATGTCTTAATTATTGCTGATTTTCTTTTTCTAGTGGAGGAAATGAAGCAATTAGCCAGAGCATTAATTAATAAACCGACATACGATGAAAGACATGATTTATTAGAAGAAATGTTGGATTATTTGTCGTTTGAGTTTGCTGATTGCTACTCTCTGTTGGTTAGAGAGATAAAAAAAAGGGAAAAGCAGGCTAATACTCCATTCCTTATAACTAAGTGGAAAAGCACTTCAATGGAAAACCCAACAGTTAAGCTCCACGAATCATTGCTTTTAGTAAGACAGCACAATATTATTGCAAAAGAACGGCATATAGAAAATGTAACATGTATGTTTAATCAAACGATTGAACGAGGTATAAATGTTAATGCAGCATTGAAAATATGCAGAATAATTAGGGATTCAAAACACTTAGAGGACGTCTATGAGTAAGTTAAGAATATATAATTTTCCTAATGACTGTTTTACTTGTTTTAGAACTACAATCATATCAAATCTCTTGTCTAGGCGCACAAAATTTAAAATTCTAACGGTATATCGAGTATGCCAACTTGGAACCAATGAAAAAGAAGCTTATATCAAAAGTTTATGGGATGGTGGTTATAATGATTTTGAACGATTGAGTATCCAATGTGACCAACAAAAAGACACACCTGTTTGGCCAACTGCGCTGTATCCTTACAAATTATTCCCAGCAATTTAATTGTAAGATTTATATAATGTATTAATTATATTATGTCAACTTTTCAATTGGGAAAAATAAATAATTTTAACTATTTAAAAATATGTTTCCACTAGAGGTGGACTCAATACAATTTCGCAATCTAATAGCATACTGCAGTGTCTGATCGTCTGCAAATATTTCCAAAACAAGCGATTCTTAATCAATCATTAGTCGAACCAATAATGTTGTGGCTCAATTCAAAAAGGCTACTTAATTATAAATGGTTTTTTTATTGAACTTAGCTTCAATGAAATTGTAAGAAATAACAGAAAATATTAAAGTTTTTATAGTTCTAAAGTTAATAAAAAAAACTATAACAAAAAAAGGGTTAAAAAATGCTTTTGAAACAAAATTATTTAGAGATTAAAAACCAAAATGCGAAAAGTTGATACTGCTAATTTATTACAATTTTATTAATAATTGATATCGAATTTGAAAATACTAATAATTTCCAATATAATTTCAGTTTTTTTGATTTTACAGTTACTCCAAATGAACAGTGTGAATACATAACTTATGTCCAAGATATACTTATTTTTCCTATGCAAAATAATGACTGTACCGGTGACCAAATACAAAAAGACATAATGGCAGCCATGAACAATCTTCTGGACAAACCTATTAGTCTATTCAGGACGTCAATTAATATATATATTATATTTAAATTCTATGATCTATGACCTCCAGAAATTTAGCATTCACAAACGATCAAGTTAGAGAAACAACAATTTATACTGAAATGGTGAAAAATAAATGTTAAATGTAAAAACACTAATCCCGGATTAAACGAAAAATCAGTAAATTCATAAAATAAAATTAATCACTTTTCCCTCAACTCATCATAAAATAATTATTTTTTATCCAAAAATTAATGTTTATATATTTTAAATAATTCTTAATCTAAAATTATATATTTGAAGATAATATTTCAAATCGTTTGCATGCAGATAAATGATATTCAAAATAATATCAATTATAATAAAGATTATTATTAACGAATTGCATAACATTTTTGCATCAAATTAAAATGTAGACACATAAATTAGATGTATTATAAATTATATTGTTTTTTTGTGTTTCGTTATAATTTAAAAATATCAGTTATGTTGCTATAGTTTTATGTTACTTTTAATAATATATTTACTATTATTTATAATTTTTAGATGGTAATTTGATTAAAAGTGCTATTAATTTATATTATTTTTTTTAATTTTAATTTTCTTATCTTCTAATATTTAAAAATGAAGTTACGTTTGATCATTCTGTATAGAAATGATTTTTAACTGGTGTGTATCGTATAATTACATTAACGTGTGCTACCAAATGTTATTAATTTATATCGTAGGTACGTTGTTACATTATTGATTATTATGGAGTAATGACGAAATGGTAAAACCACAGTTAAGATTCTATAACATTCTCTATTCACATAATATAGGTTTAAAAAAATTATTTTTTTTAAATCAATTAATTGTTTTAAGTGTGATGCTATTTTTATTGATCTAAATTCGGGTGTCACGGTCGTTGTAAAAAAAAGGTTGAGAAGAACTGATCTATAGGCTCAAAAACTACTAGTAGGTTGGCACTAGTCACTAAAAGTTATTCAATAGGTTCTTATTTCCAAGAGACTCGGGGATCACACATATATTTTTATGTAGCTATATATCGCGATTGGTTACCCGGGCAGATGAGGTAAAAATGTAAAATCATGCATCAAATAGTCATTTTTTATGACCTCAATTAAAGAAACTATATTTTAAAATCTAATATTTGTTTCTAGCTTACATACTCAAAATATACTAGATTGATTTAGACGAAACTCTAAGAGATTGTTTTTAAAAAATATTTCAGAAAAGTTAAAAGAGTAGTTTAAACTTTAAACCACGTTAAAAAATATATCATGACGTGCAAAATAAATCCAATTCGTAATTCAAAAGATAAGAGTGTTGTCTGTGGTTCCAGTTATTGACACTTCCACCCAACGCTTAACAAGTCTGGTAAACAAACCTTTTTTAAGGATTGCGTCCCGGACAAAATTCGTGTTACTTTTTCATTTTACATTTTTTTTAGTGGTACACGGTGGTTTCCAAATTGATTTTTAATTTTGTAAATACTTTTTTATATTTGTATCTAAAATAATAATAATAAATTATATATTTATCATTAACATAATATTATGATATGAAACCTAGTTTTTATCACAATTTATGGCACTGCATGTTGGTTTCTAAAATGTTTTTTTCAGTATGAATATTTTGCTTAAAATAAATCTATATATTACAATTTTATAGACACGTTCCAAATTAATTCGTAGTTAGTTACCTACTTGTGATATAATAAAATTATAATACTTTGACTGTTTGACTACTAGTTTGACACAATCTCATCGATTATAAGAATAGCAAATCTACGAGGTATTTTAATTTTGATATAAAAACTAAAAATTGGAAAAATATTAGATTCTGAGAGGAGCGATGATGCATGCAATTTTCACAGAATGAAAAAATATTAGTAATTTCTATGTAAAATACAAGATAATATTTTCGAAATATTGCGATTCTTTAAATATTTAAGGTTCAAATTTGTAACGAAATAACATATTAAAATATATAATTAAGATTTTAGTTATTTTGTTTAATTTAAAATTATTATTCGTGGGTACTTGAAACCTTAAGATTACATAATGATCATATTGAATACAGTGTACACACAATGACATTTTCAAACGTATTTTTTTTGCCATTTTAACATTTTTTAGTACAAATTCCTAATAGTAAAATAAATAACATTAATTCCAATGATATCAAACAATTTACTTAGTAATGCCTATTATAGGCTGTCTTCGCTCAAATTCGTTTTTCGTACCTACATAATGGTCGTTGAATTAAAATTTAACTCTCATCCATTACAGTGATGCTCTCCAAATGTACAACAGAACGTACCCGGCCATTTACCCGCTTTTTCTTTAATTGATTTTCTCAAAAGTTGCCAAATAATATCGGTCAATATTCTTGCACGTAATAAAAGGTTAAAATAAAACTTATGAATTCTTAATATAACTATAAGAGCCCTACAATGGATTCCTGAAATATAACAATTCAATTCCTCATCTTATTTAAAAAATTTAAATCAAAATAATAATGAACATGTTTTACAAATGGTTATAAGTTATAACAGTACTAAAATAAAATACTAATATAGGTATAAGACGTGGAAAATTATTTTTATATATATTGCAAAAGGTTTTTTTTGTGGGAAAATACGAAGGATTAATAACGTAACAACAGTACCTAATTAATAATTAAGATATGCGCAGACAATATAAACCACAAACATATAATGTTAAGCTACTAAACTATGATATAAAATACAAAAAAATTGATAGGTTAAGTTATAATTATAGAGATCAAACCACAAAATATGATTGTGACTGTAACTACCGTGTGCTAAAAATTAACATATTGTGAATTGTGATATAAATGTATTCCATTGCACAACATAAAATAGTTTAAAATTAGATATTATAAGCATGCGTATAGGCAGAAGTTTCAATTCGTAGGCACTTCCCATGGTCTTACAAGATCAAATTCAGCAGATAGGCAGCCAAGTAGTTTATTTTCTTTGTTTCTCAATTTAGCCACTAATTTATATTTTCCATAATAGAAAATTTTGGGAAATTTGTTGTCATCTGCAATAGCTTTAATATCTAATCCTGCTGTTGTATATATACCCTGTAAATATTCAATAATTAATTATAATTTACTACTTATAGACTATAACATAACACATTACGTTTCTAATTAAGTATTATTGAAGATAAGTAGATTTTTAAAATCACTATTTATAACTAACCTACGATAATATTGTTTTCATCTTGTACACTTTCACGTTCAAAATAATCACATAAATTAAATCGAAATACTGTATAATATTATCTTATGACTTATAGGTATTAAATTAATAAACATTAAATATTACCGATGGTACAGGACAGTTTCCGGTTGGGATTTTAAAAGCCTTTTGTAATGAAGTCCAACAATTTCCCAAGATAGCCTTCATTTTTGAACAAGCCATATTAACTATGTAAACAAAAGAGTTTGGTTTCCAACCTCCGGTTAAGCTCCAAGAAGATAGGTTATAGTCAAACTACAAAATAAAATGAATGCATAAGATACAATGTTGTAGGTAATCTTGTATGATATGACTATAATGTAAATAAATAAATAAAGTAAATAAATCATAATTATTTTATTTAATCATTTTTTAAGTGTAACTTAAAATAATTCAAACTTCTTTACAGAGGGTACGAAAAAATAAATATATATCCTCTTTCACGACACACATAATACCAAAATGGTCAATACCATGAGCTATCAACTACAATGTAACAGATTCAATGACAAGTCAGAGCATCAGCTTATTTATTACATTTTTTTGCCTAAAAAATGTTTTAATTTATACTTACTTATTACTTATACACAACAAGCATTTTTTTTTAAAAGGTGTTCAAGTGGGTACCTGTGTAATGTACAGGAGACGTCCATTGAATCACTGTAATAGTGGAATGGATGTGTTAAATTTGAACTAAATAATACATCATTGACCTTTGTTCATTGTATACAAATAACGATTCTGAGTAGGGGCGGTCTGTTGGCCTATGTCAAGTATATTTCATATGTTTTTGGCACGGCTATTGATACTATGGTTGCGGGACGTTCACTTGTAATAGTATCTATAGTCATGGTTTTTTGATATTACTCATATCATAATACTCTTGAACATTTTATAATTTTTTAATTACAAAATAATTTGAACATTTTCGAGATTTTGATTAAGTTTTTCAAAATTTTAGCTTCAGGCACTCATAAAAAACTATTGTGGATTTACTCTCAGCTCTTTTCTTCATTTCCACTGACAACGGCTTATGAGAAACGTTGTGTTACATTTTCAAGTTTTTTGAATAAATAAGCAAAACATATTTTAGCAACAATAAAAAAAAACAAAGGAAACTCGACATTTTCTTCATGCCTAGAAGCCTCAAAAAGAGTCACCATATTTCAAAGATCGTGCATAGCAATTGGTAGTAAAAACTTTCAGTAAACTCATTTCATTTTTAAGAGTTAAACCAAAACCCAAAATCGATTTTGTCAAAAGCCATAAATTTCAATTTTTCCTTAATTTTTTTTTTTGTTTTTCTAGACACTTTTGAAAACAGCTCAAAATTTTTACATTTTGCCTTCTGGATGGACCAACTAGATTTACTTTCCCACCAGCAAACGCTTCGCTCAGAATTTAAAAATTAACCTAAGTTACTTAGACTGTGAAACTTTATTAAACATGGTGCCTGATATTTAAGGAAAAAAGCCATCTTATTAGAAAATATGAAATAAGTATTATATTGGTATTGTTTATTTTATAAATATATTGCGTTTTAATTACCATACAATAAGACTTGAGAATAAAATATAAATGTTGAGTAAACTTACTATTAATGAATCGTCTAAAGGTGTTAGGAATGTTAAATTCCCTTTCACTTCCGTAATATTTCTTGTTTTTTTACTTAAATATAAATTCATTTTTAACTTTAAATCTTGTGTAGTTTCACAAGGATGCATTGTGTGAAATACAAATCTATATTCTCCCTGTAATAAAATTAAACAGTTCATATTTAATGTATTGATTATAAAAACATTATATAATATATAATCGTGTTTAGAACATTCAGGAGCTATATTATTTACCAATGGCAAGTTTGGCCTATGAATGCTTTTTGATCGGGTCATATAAAAAATTCCAACAAGAACAATAATTTTGGTTAGGTACATTTTATTTTCTCACAATGACTAGGTAATAGAAAACAATATTGATAGTTAAAAAATGTGAGAATGAAAATTATAAATTATTCCCATTTTTTTTTTTTAATGATGCATGCATGAGTGGTGTCCTTAAATTACAATATATAGGATGTACATATCTATAACTAGATCTACCTATGTAATATGTATTGTATTCAATCATTTAATTTTTGTGAGAGTTATAGGAATAAATAAGTGACAACAACACAACGTTATATATTGATTATATTGAATACAATATACAAATAATAATTATGTTTGTAAACCTAACATAAATGCCTAATTTTTGTTTAATTAAGGTCCGCTATATGGAAATTGAATCTAATTTTCTGATTTACATTATTAATTATACAAGTTACATATTTTATAAAATGTAATATGTTTATATATAAATGTTTACCTACCTAATCGTAATAAGACGTCACATGGGTAATATGTTATATTAGTTTAATATTGTTACTAACTAGGTAGGTACATTATAAACATAATCTCACTATATTTAAAATAAAATGTATTTTTACCGTTTACTATGCACTTTACATGAACTTTAGCAGACCTACCTGAAATGCCTCGTGTGGAAACTTAAAAAACCCCTCGCGGTCTCCTTGACAACGACCGTAGCTATTGTGGGACCGACCAGATCGATAATAATGAAATAAGTAAAGAAGTTATTGCAAGAACCCTATTCCGCAACACCCTAGCTTATACCTAGAATGGCACGTGCCAGGCGTCCAGGCGTGCACATAATAGTGTAGGTACTATGTCTGTAATTGTGGGTTATTTAGGAATGTGAAAATAAGGTCTGAACAATGTTGAAAGTTGTTTCAATGCCCAACAATCTACAAAAAAATATGTTAAACATTGAGATAACTTTCAAAATTGCTCAGACCTTATTTGTAAGGTACATACAACTTTATTGGTTTCATTATTATCGATCTGGTCGGTCCCATAATAACAGCCGCAGCCGTTGTCAATGAGACTGCGAGGGGTCTGGGAAATTCCGACACGAGGCATTCCGGGTAAATGGCTGTATGAGCTAATACCTCTAAGTGTGGGAGAAAGGTCACAGGAGCTGTTAATATTAGATGTTAGACAGGGCCGGAACTACTTTGGGGCAACCGGGGAAATGTCACGTGGTCCCTTACATAGGGGGCTCCTGGCAGGGAACGGAAAAATATTCCGCTTTATGAGCATTTTTTGAACTAGCTAAGCAAAGTCTATTTTTGAAGTAGACCGTTTGGCATTTCGTCGGCGTATCTGTTTGCCGTAGCATATGAAAATATGCGCCCTGATAATCAGTGTAAAATTACCAACATGATTTGAAGGTAAAAAATTATGGGGTAATGCAAAGCACACATAAATAGTGACCGACGACCAAGTGCTATTTTAATTGTGGTCTCATAATCTATTTTAAACTAAAAATACGTTCGTAATAATACACGACAATGAAGGAATAACAAAATGATAAACGAAATAATAACAAAAAATACGGAGTATTTTCTACGATGCATTGATAGTCGTCTGTACTTGTTTGAGCGCATGATTGTGGTACCAATTTATTGTGATACCCAATTATACACATGTTTTTCTATAATTGCTTCAATTACAGCAAAAACAAAACGCTAAGCCCTTACCTAGGTGGTGCCTCAAAAAAGAGAGAGAAAAAAAGAATAAACGAAAAGTTAGTTAACCAAAATTACATTGTGATTGTCAAAAGCTTCAATGGACAGCACAGATAAACAAAAGTTTGTGAACTCACATCTTATAAATTTAACTATTCATACCTATTTCTTAGCTTTCTTGACTCCGGTACTCATTTTTATATAAGTTATTTACTTATTTAGTTTTAGCTCAAACCTAAGCTGATGAATTCTACAATAAATTTTCAAATGACGTGTCACCTTCGTTTTCTTAATAATTGCTGACCATAAGGTCCATGTTTGATAAATAAATTATTCTAATAAAATGTTCCAAAGAGTTGGCACACTTTTTGTTCATTCAAAATGCTTCAATTTCATCGAGCTACGAGTATGCAAACGTGTGCACGAGCACGGCCTTTCATAATATGTTTCTGGCTGTTTCCGTGACTAAGCCAAAAGCTGGGCGATGCTTAACAAGCTGAACTTGATGAAGAAATATTTGCGAATCACAATTACACAAGAAAGGCTGAGCAGCTTGTCATTACTGTTCATTGAATATCAGAGTGCACACAGAATTGATTTTAATTAAGTTATTGACGAATTCGCTTTAATTAAATCGAGAGAATAGAGTTTCTAGAATTGAAGTTTATAGACGTTCGTGAGATAAATGGATACGCGAATTTTCCATTACAAATATAGAGATACAAATAGGTACCTACTCAAAGTACTTATGATTGTAATAAATTTTTGTGACTCGTTATGAATAAATATAATATACATATCATGTAAAAATGTTAATTGGATTTTTTTTATGACCTGTGCATTGAAAATTATTGATAAAATTGGCTCCAAATTTAATTCTACCCCGCGTCTCCATCAGTTCAAGTTCCGGCTCTGATGTTAGACAGACACTTAGATATACCGAATAAAATTTAACGTATATAATATTATGTTCTAGTATAATGTATTTTACTTTACCAATGACCTGATAGTAACTAGCAATACACGACGAAAGCGATAAAACGAAACTAGTTCGGTATGTATAGGCATATCGAACAGACAAAACTGCTAAAGGATTATTATAATTATTATTGTTATTAATTTTGTTGTAATCAGAATGGTGGTACACTAATATACTTATATAATAATTAATAGTACCCTGTCATAATATAGATGTATGATAAATTGATAACACACACACGTCTGGGATATCTATTTACGTATTTTATACATATAATTTATGTACCAATATTGGCAATATTAAAGATTAAAGAATGGGCAAGTTACTTAAAAATTAGTATCGCGATACATCGATACTAGATTATAGACTATACTACAAATCCCGTTTTCATACTGTTAAAAAATATTAATTATAATGAAATTACCTTTAAATATTCTTATGAAATTTTCATCTTCAACTGTAGACAAAGGTTTTATACCAAGGACAATGTAAAGTATAATATGTTCGTCTAATTTTTTTTGTTTATCTACGGCACTTTTATATTCAGTTAGTTTTTTTTGTTTTGTTGAAATTTGAGAATCATCATTTGATGTACTTGCTCTTTTACGTCCACCAACTTTTAAGTGTGAGTCGTATTTTTCCAATTTAGTCATGTGTAATCTCTAAAAAATATAATTAATTGTAATTATTAATTAATATTAAAAACTATATGTATTTTAAAAATATAAATTATTTAATATTATGGTGTACATATTTTATTGGTGCTTACTTTCAAACGCAGTCGAAAATTTGACGTAGAAATTATTGCTTCTTAATAATTCTTCTTTCTTTTTTTTCTCTTCGCATATTATACATTTAGCTTTTACATTAGAATTCACGTTTGTTATTTCATCAGAATTTAATATTGTATAAAATGTCCCGTCTAAGGATTTTGGAACATTAACCATTTAATCATCCTTATTTTTCAAAAATTAATAATTCAAATCTTAAGACAATGCACAACACTGGACAATAGTAAGGGGTCACTACTCAAACACTGAGTAGATGCATTATACGCCTGACACTGACAGAAAATATAAACCAATCGTCGGCGACCGGCGAAATACGAAGTTATATCGCTGATATGTCTACAGTTATATTTTATCGGCAATCAAGAGTCTTCAAACACCAGTTACTTAAATCTAACTTAGATTATGATTAACTAGTAATTTGAAAGTACTAACTACAAATTATAAAACTTGTTATTGGATAATTAGGAAAAAAAGTTACATAAATAAAACATAATTTTTGAATGTCGTTTTATGATTAAGACACTAGATACAAAAGCATTTAAATACACAATACAAGATAGTAGATACATTAAAATAAAGTATCTCGATACAAGATTCAATTGTATCTCAGATACGTATTTTAAATACTAGTATTTGAGTTATTGCCCAATGCCCAGGCCAGGATTGTAGATACTTAGCCACTTAGGTAGGTATTGCAGGTAACTTGTCTTTAGAACAACACAATAGTACAATACTAAATACTTGTCCGTGTAGTATTAAGATAATATATTATATAGGTTATCAATACTTACATTATAATAGTAGGTGTTTAGATGTTTACTCGATACTCGATAATCAATACATTTGATTATTTGAATAAAATTAGTCCTGGTTTTTTTAAACTTATGTATGTATAGTAATATACAATATATAATAAATGGTTAATAATATAGATTAGATTAATAATAACTTAATAGCAATAGTAATATTTTACTTATTAGGTAGGTACCTATTTTATCTACATATTTTTTTACATAGCATAAACTACAGTTATTAACTTAATTATTATATTTAATATTTATATTAGTATTGTAGTAGGTATTATTATACTACTATACTAGATATTGAATTATAGTAATTGTGGTATAATTTTAATGATTAAATCTAATGTACAAATGTACAGTAATTTAAAAGTCGTATAATTAATTTAATTTGTTTTTTATATGACTTATTTTCTTTTATCAAGAATATTAGTAATCATTTCGAAAATTACATCAGACGATTTTTTCCTAGTAAGGTTATTTATAAATTCAGCAGATGAAAATGTACGTTTGACTGCAGGTATTAAAGCACAGCCTAAACGAATAGCATTTTTTGTTTAAAATAATATAATTATTAATTATATTTATTAGTACAAATTTATTTTTATAGAACATGATCACACACCTCTTGCACCGGCTGCCCTACATTTATGTATAACCTTAGGATGACCATTGCATTTACCTAACCTGAATATAAAACTACATAGCCTTTAAAAATAAATGTTTCAAAGTAGATATTACTTTAATGTATCAAGTATCTTTCGATGACATATTTTTTACTCGATACATTGACTAAAAAATGTATTGCAAATTACACTACAAAATATACTTCTCACAGCTGCATTGGGATATAAAATAGCAGATACAATAATTGTATCCAAGATACTGCCCAACCCTACCCAGTGGAACCGAACCTAATTTAAGGGGTAGGTATACCCCCTTGTATTAATAGTTTTGAAGTATAAAACATTGTACAATTTTATAAATAATAGGAGTAAGTAAATAGGAGCGGAGGACGTAATATTACAGATAACTCGAACTAGTCTATTCATATAGAGTTTCGTAGCGTGCACAGTTTGATTGTGGTAAAAAAGCAGATAACTATGTATTTATAATTACTATAAATTCCCAATGGTACCTATATAGGTCAAATACATTTCTAAATACACATATGGAAAAACTAGGACTTAAAAAGGAAAAACGAAACCATAGTAAATCGCCTCAAAAAGGCCTCACATTCACAACACATAACCTCCTCATGGCCAGAAACAACTCTACCCCCCCCCCCTCCCTTACATGAGAATTATGTGGATTGAAATTCTCATTCAAACATTTAATAACTGAATGTCTGAAGTTCGAAAACTCGAGAAATAAACACCACATACCTCATCTTAGAGGGTCTAAGAGAATACCTCCAATCAAATATCAACATCATCAACTTTCTATTCGCGTTCACGTTCAAGTACAATTTGAAAAAAAATGTTCTCTCCAAACACTGCTATAATGTAAAATATATTTAAATTAAATGCAAATTAGAACTAAAGACCTAGTAGTTGATGTTTCAATAATCAATAAAAAAAAAAATTCTAAATGTACAACAGCAGCTGCAGCTGGTAGTTGGTACATGGTGTTTTACGAAATCCATACAAAATGATATCATATAAACTATACTATAGTATATAGTATTATAGTTATTAAATTAGTTATATCCGGAATTATAGGTATATATTTTTGTAGTACAAGAATATATAATTTTGAATAAATTTAGAATTATTCGATTTATTTGAACAAGACAAAAAATACATTACAATATGAAATAAACTATTATATAATATTACTGAACATTATATAGACAGGAAAAATTGAAATTATTTATAGATGTATGGGTAATTACACTTATAAGTTTATAGCTCAAAAGTTATTCAGTTATTGATCACTACGCTCAAACGACACACACTCACACAAGGTTCATTATGTAATAATTATTGAATAGGTACAATTATGTGTCCTTAAATCTGCATAAGATGTAAAATTGGCATTTTATATTTTTATATTTGCCAAAAGTATTTGACAGGGATCTCAGCTTAATACTGAATTGGTGTGAAATGTAGATTGCGTCCCGCGACATCTATTAAAAAACATGACGTAAAGAGATACACAATAATATATTAGCTTGATAAGTAGGTAAAGGAACAAAAATAATTAAAATGTTAGAAAATAAACAAAATATAACTATATAATTATTTAGTACACAAGAAAATTAAAAGCATTACTTGTTTAGACTTTGTGTGGGAATTATCTTACAAATGTTTTTCAGTTATTTACTTATAGTTAAATTATTATTAACAGTACATATTTTAGCTCATTTTCACTCATGTGTGCTTAAATAAATAATAATTTCAATTTTAAAATTATACCTTCAGAATATATCTCAATGATATATGATCAATGATCCTATGAGGCCAAGTATGTATATAAATATAGACTATAGTCTATAAAGTTACTAGATTAGTAGGTCATCATTCATCAATGTTCTTTAATTCTGTACAGATTAAAATTCATGTTTTTTTTAAATTTTAACTATTATTTTTAACTTGTGACTGTCAAAATATATGCCTTATTGTTTTGTACCAAAAAAACAATTTCACCTAACTTGATTTTATACCAAGTCTAAAATCATTAGTGTCTTAATGTTAATATAAAATACATTTTAACTAATATTTTCTTTGTGAAAAAATTAATAAAATTGATATTTAACATAGAGAATAATAATAAACAATTCATTTGTTTTTTTAAAAATACAAATACAAATAATAAATTTAAATACATTGATAGAGAAAAATAGAGGATGCTATACATTCTCCATATTTTATTATTTCTGTGTAGCATTCATCATACACTCTGCATTTTGAATACAAGTACTTGTGATTTTTAAAATTAACTAATTAATAGTAGCTGAATAACCCAGCTTTGCCTATATGCAGTTTTTTTTTTTGTGGCAAATTGTGTACCTTGACATATTTAAAAACAATTAAAATCACAAATAATACAATATTATTTTATTTAAATATTTTAGTTAAGAACTTACAAACTTACCTACTATTTTTATTATATACAACAAAACAATATATGAAACGTGGAAAATACACATTTAACTTAAATTGTTATGCAAATGTAACACATAAACAATAAATGAGAGTACAGATTTCATCTTAGTTAAGAATCCTTCAACATTAATAGTAAAACATTCATATTGATACACATAGACATAAGTGTACCATAATTATATATATTTATTAATTATTTATTATAACATCAAATTATTTTAAACATTATAATGTACCAGTGGTTCCCAACTAGGGGTAATTTAGATATTGCATGGGGGAATATAGTAATGATTGAATAACAAGAATTTTGTTGTTAAAATAATTATGTCACTTTACAATCAGTAAAATTGAAAACAATAAATTAATTTTTGGACAGTTGTCCATCGATAACAATTATACGAGTATTTTATAATGATTGACCTCTCCACAAGTAATCTAATATTGATAGGTACAACATTTTATTATATAGTGTAATAAATTGTTATTATGTATAACTAAAATAAAAGAAAAATAGGTCGTCTAAACGAAGAGAGGAAGAGAATTTTAGAAATTTACATGGGGGACGTAGAATAAAAGAGGTTGGGAACCACTGTAATATATTTATCTTAGCTTGTAATATAAAAATTTAAAAAAACAAATAACTTAAAAAATAAAAGTACACATTAAGCTTATATTTATTATTTTGCAAGACCATTGTAATGATATTACATTTTTTCAAACAGTTTTCAAAAATATAGTGTTACTGGTATTTATTTGGTTACAAATTAAATAAATAAGGATACAATACAAACAAATTATATGTTTAAATTTTAACTAATTGTAACAAATATGGTTGTCAAAAACAGAATTTAAAAGCCTGGTTAAAAAAAAAATAATAATAATATAATTACTATATTTTTCTCTAATTGAGCTTCAAATAATCATCAAAATGAGTAAAACTTAACAGTATAGAACAAGTAACATTTTTAATTAAAAACCCATAATTCATCTAAAATACCAAAGGATGGCTTATAGGTTTAAATAAGTTACTTGATTTTAAATTTAAACATAATTGAAATGCCTGAAACACTTTTTACAATAAAAAAATTTAGTATAATTTTAATCATAATCTAATATTTGATTATACATTTATAATTGACAATAAAAAAACATAATTTTTTAAATCTTGAATAGAACAGCAATATTAAACTAAAAGAACCATTTTGAGATACATTCAAAGGAAAACATCCAAATAAGTAATATCTGATTCCAATCAATCTCAAACAAAGTTCCAAACTATTCCTATGAGACCAAATTTAGAAACTCTTTAATAAATGGTTTTCTATGAGCCCCTTCTACTGAAAGAAAAGACTTTCACAAATGTGATGAGTTTTGTATTGTTGTTAACTGTCAATAATTATTTTCTACAAAATTATGATATCAGATTCAATCAATTTTTAATACTGATAAAAAAAAGGTTGTATAATATGGAATGCTGATTTGCTTATATATATTATATTAGACTTCACTAAACTATGCTATTTATCTATTCTTTACTGTAATACTATACTGTAATATACTATATTAGGTATACTAAACTATGCTACTATCTAATTTGTAACAAGAAAAGCAAAAATAATTTTTTTTCAATACTTATTAAAGCAATCACTATTAAATCTACATACGATGCCCCAGTTCATCAATGCCCCACAACTCAAAAATTGGTTTTTTGGGTATAATGTGTTTTATATATTGATTCTCTATGTAATGAAACGTAAATTATAATATTGAAAATGGTCTCTCTTGGACAATAATTTAACTATATTTTATTGTGTTATTAAACCAAAATCATTATAAGATGGTGTAAAAACTCGAATTTCTTATAACTTGAGTTGTTAAAGTTTTGAACTGAAACATCGATAATATAATCATTCATCACTATAATCAGCGTAAATATATTTTTGTTAAAATAAAAAAAAAAAATTTGAAATTATAAATCTACTTCTTATACTATATTTCTTTCACCTATATAATGTTATAATTTAAAAAAATTAAGTTATTATTCACTTCTTTAGATTGCAGTGCATCAATTTGGAATCTTCATAATGAACTATATACTTATTATATTTTGCCTTTGAGATTTTTACTTCTGTACTGAAATCGTGATTTTTAAAATATGCTAAAAATAAAATGTAATAATAAAACATGATTATTAAGTACTATACATTTATTCTTTGCAAGCCGTACCTAATTTTTCTTTATTAGCATAAACCAGTAAATTCCATATATTCAGTTTAGTTGTTTGAAGCTCCTTCAAATAATTCATTAAAAACGACTCATATCCATTTACATGTAACCCCACTTTCAACATACATAATACTATTTCAGTAAATCCTTGAGATTTGAAAGTGCGGAAATATATACATCCAACAGGAATACCGTCTTCCATCATGGCCAACGTTTTTATTTCTCTAATTATTACAAAAAATGATAAATATATAAATATAAATACAAGAATTTGAAAATTTAGTTTGAAAGAATGACGTAAGTTGAAAAACAAATCTTATGAATGACATATCACTTAAAAAATTATTGTTTCTATTGAATTATATATAGGTCTAAGAATTTATTACAAATATTATTATTCATACAATGACTAAATAAATTTATTTGAATGATTTAATGAAGCGATAATAATTTTAAAAACAGAATTGAATTTGTCATCAAGATTACTTAAGATTGTTTTCCCACAATTTTGATTTTTTGATTATAACTTCTCCTCCAAAAAGTGAATATGAGAATCTTTTAGTTTCTCTTTGGTAAAATAACGTTTTAGGAATTTGGGGGGAGGGCTAATTTAAAAATGTGGATAAGTCGATTTCAAGAAGACTTGACAACAAATTAAAATCTGTTTTTATAACTCTTATCACTTCCATATATCAATCGGTATGCTTGTCGAAAAAACATGTCTTAAATCCTATCTTGCGCGTGTGTTAGACTAAGATAGCAAATCACCAGGAGAAATCCTTTAATTATACTCACTTATTTTCTTTTTTTTTAATTTTCTTTTAAACCTAATATATATTCAAAAATATGCTTTTAGATTTGAATTATGCTAATGTAGGTAATAGATTTAAATAGCATATCTATAACGCTATATTTTACAATAAATAAAAAAAGTATTAGATTGCTTTAAGATCTAAACTTTGTTAGTTGATATAAGTATATAACCAAATAAAATAATAAATTGAATTGGTTATCACTTATCACATACACATATTGAAAAGTTTCAACAATTAAATTGCATATGCATATTTTGCTGAATGGTTTTTAAAATGATAAGTTTCAATAATTAACTTTAATAGAGGTAACAATATACTTACTCATCTGTTTCCAATCTTGAAATGTATGTATCGGGAAGTCTAGGTAACTGAGTTTGGTACATATTTCTGAGTTCTTTTCGGCATAACACACATTTTGTAAGATTTGACGAACGATCAAATACTATCATTTCTATTCCTGCATGTTTGGCTTTTGCAAGAGTTTCAGGTTTATTCTGGTGTGTTATAAACCCCTAATTAATATAAAATTAATAATTAGTAACTACATTTAAAATTGAATAGATAGTAAATTATAAAATACCTAAGATTATTAATTTGTGTATTTTGAAATAAAATATGTAGTATAATTATAAATATTAAAATATGTAGTATTTGGCATCATTTTAAGTGGGTCACTTGTAAATGAACTAAATGTTATAATGAGATAAAAATGTTAATACTATAAGTTTACTTAATGTGATCACTGCCCATTGACAGCTATTTATCAAGGGTTCACTTAGTCAAGGGTCCACCCCAACCCTTCCACCATAAGTTGCCTTGAAACTGTGATATCTAATATTATAAACACAAAATACATTGTACTCAATATATATAACAAACATACCACATACACATAAAAAATGAAAGTCTTGGACTTCCTATCTCTGCATATCTCTTTTTTGGGGAGGGGTGCTTTTACAAGTCATTTAGACTCTTGGCCGCCAAAACTACTTCCTTCCATCACTTTCCATCATATGCCTGCTCCCAGTCCACTCCAATTTCTTCAAATAATTCCTTGACGCTATCCTTCCATCTTTTCCGCGGTCTTCCCCTTGGTCCTTTCCCCTTGCCATGTATGTCAATGCTAGTTTCAACATACTTCCATCGGTCCGCCATACATGACCTGCCTATTCTATCCTTGTCCCTCTGGTGAATTGGACCACATCTTCTCTTTTGTAAAACTGGTACAGTTGGGCGTTCGTTCTTATTTCCCATTTCTGTTCTGTATTGTTGAATACGAGCCCATACATGTTTCTAAGAACTTTTCTCTCAAATAACCGAAGTATTTTATCATCGCCTCTCATTGATGCCCATGTGGCACATGCATTGCATATCTCTAACCAGTATATATGTTACTGCCACCATTAGCCCCATCATTAACAAAATTCTAATATTAACATTTTTAATGTCTAATCTAAGCACATTTACTTCATTGGCTCAAACACTCGAAACACTTCAAATTAAGATACTATTGGTACTATGGAAAGTTCACTGATTGTTTGTTATTGAAAGAAAAAAAATGCAAGTGTAGTAATTTTAAATTTTATCTTAACATTTATTTTGTTATGTATATTTACCTTTAGAGATGTGTTGGCACCAAAATTAAGATTTAAACACTCAAATGTATCCATAATATTATCCTTTGCTACATAGTTTTTAAACATTTTATCATAATTTACACCTGGTATTTTTACTCTAAAATCATTTATAAAAATCAATTTTTATCAAAACTTATAATTTATACCTAGATAAATTAAAACTAATATTATAAGAAAATAATTAAAATTATCAGCATAAAAACAATGCTTACATTATAACGTTTTCAAATACAATACATTTACTCAAATTCTTACTCATACGTCATATTATTTTTAAATAATAAATATTTTTCAAATTTATAATCATGCAGTTTGATTTAGAACAAATAATATTTAGATATAGGTAATATTTTTACACAAATTATAAATTACCCATCTAAAAATTATTATCATATGATGTATTGATGTAATAATTATGATTTCATTTTTTAACAAAAAATATAAAAAAAATTTCTATGATTAATCCATCCTCTGAATAATCTGGACTGCTACATAATACGGAAAAAGGCAAAAATCTCTTAAGAATACGCCATATCTGCATATGTTATCTTCGTCATACTAATTCATAATATACCAAAATGTACGCTCAACAGTCTCAATTGAGTATTGTTAGCTTAGAGCGAATTACCTATTTAAAAAAAAATGTAATTAGCTTCCAGTAAAATACTATTAAAGCTCAAATTTACCTGTAATCAAACTTAAATGTAAGAACATTATCTGTGTTTCCCTAACACTCCTGTTGGTCTTTTACGATATTTTAATTTTTAAGCGAATTGTAATCATAACTCAGTTAAAAATTAAAATATCATAAAAAACCATCAAGAAAACACAGATAATGTTTTTACATTTAAGTTTGATAATAGGTCAATTTACTCTAATATTTAAGCTAACAACACAAAAATACGAAATTGAAACTGCTGGACTTGTATTATGATATATTATGCCTTAGTAGGACCAAGACGGAGACAATATATGCGGGTGTCGCGTGCTCTTAAGTAAATTAACTTAACTGCAGGTAAGTCTGATCGATCAAATTTTGGATCAACATCATATCAAACTCTATAAACCATAAATATGTAAAATGTGAATACTCGAGATGAACATTGGCACTCTAATTCATTTCACATTATAATATATGTCAACCATCAAGAGATTAAAAAGGATGTTTTTTTTAAAATTTTACTATAACTAAAAAACCACTTATTCACTCGGCCACCTACGTCACGCAGTGCTGTAGTGGAGAAAATGCTCGGTTTTTAATCAATTATTTTTGATCTATTATATAATAATAAATTATTTCACCAATAACAGTGATGATTACAATATTAGAAGAAATAACTACAAGTTACATTTCGTTTACGTCAAGTCTAGCATTATGAACAACACTCGCTCAACGACCACCTTCGCAAAGGGCCAAAATTACAACGCAATATCGTAAGTGTTATCATTAATTTTCAATTTTTAAGATTCTTCTTCGGTGCCGATATCAAACAAATGTTCAAACAAATTCTGGAGCACCCAACTGACAGAAAATACCAATGTAGTATAGCCCTATTCACCAATATCAACTCAACACCAACACCTACAGGCTTGCGACGTTACCTTATCAAGCCATCAGAACACTAAGTCAGTTAGCTGATCATCCAATAACATTACAAATACTACATAAGGATTATTTATGTGGATGACATGAAGTTATGTCTGAAGATGATTCTGTTGATATGAATTAGTCATATCATATACACCTTGCATGGATTTTGTGATAGCTCAGTGCTTGTCTTACATACGCCGTAGACGTCTATATCATTGTCATAGCTGACCTTGGCGTCAAAAACACGAGTGACTCCATTAAAGAAGATTCGGTTCCCCGTCTAGAACTGTGAGACTTGACAACTTATCCACGAGTTTGTACCAATCTTGAACGTACCATTAAGTCATGTGTACTTGTAGACTGTTCCATCATACCTCTTTATTGGGTAGCTAATGAGCCATATCGATGGTCCTCATTTCTGGCCAATCACGTCACTTAGATACAGCAACTGGTTCTATGCGCCACTAGGAAGCACGATTTCTCAGGTGCAACCCTAAAGATGTAGCCTCTCGGTGGCAAACTCATAACATATGATCTGTGGTGAAGATGACCCATCTGGCTACCTGATCGACCCAAATGACCCAACATTACTCTTCTGACATTCTGACACTCTTCGATATCAACTGTCTCAGAGGAACGTCCAGTGTTTATCACTGCTTGGTAATGCCGTAATCTCTGACATTATATCCACGTATTCGAGCCCAGATTTTGTCAGTTCTAACAACGCTTTGCGTGAACAGCATACACTCCTTCCGTTTAACCGGGTACAAAAAAAGGTACATAGTTGATGCTTAAGATATCTTAACAGTTCATCGGGCTTATGGGAGGCTAACGTCAAGTCCTGCAAGTACATCATGAAGCACCGTCAAGTATATACGCATAAAGAACTCGAGACGCTATTTGCCAGATAGGTGCTATAATGAATTTAAGAACTCCGAGTGCTATGTATATGGACTCAGCAACTACTTCTGGGCACTTTCTGATTGAAGAACCCTTACGGCGTTACTTACAGTGTCCAGTCTTGATTATGTCGACACTCTCTCCAATCGTTTCAACCACTAGGAGCTACTCCAGCAGTAGCAGCAATTTTGGCGACAGTGGTAGTCTAATTACCTGAACACCATACAACAAAGCCTCAATAGCGTCCTACTGATGTGATCTTCAAGTGGATAATTTTTTAAGAGTGATTGTGTGAAGGATTAACGCACATCACATCTTCAATTGCCATTGGCTAGAGTTACATCCAAGTACTTAGTACATACGACAAATATGGTGCGAAATATTACACATCTCTATATAAAAATTATTTCTCTATTAGTATTATTAAAAAAAAAAGACTTTCGCCTTTAAATCCGAACCCTATTGATTATCTATCATCATTCTCAAGATGTTAGTGGTTCTACATGCGATAACCTACGACCGTGGTTAATGGTTATACAATAATTTGAAGTTTTTGTACATACATTAAAATTTATTAGCTACCTAAGTACAAAATACTCTATTTTTGCACATAACAATACAGGCCCCTACTAATTATTATTGAGGAAAAGCAAATTGTATACAAAAAATTAGTTCTTTTTTTCAACATGCAATAACCCAATAATATTGTAGCATCTACTCCTGACGAGTACTTTCAGATTTCTATACATATACTTTAATTTCAAATACTATTAACTCTTAAATTCAGTTATTAGAATTTTATGAATTTTATTCCAATAATTAAAATACCATTTAAATAAACATTGTTACTCCATCAGTTATGTTAAAAATGATGAAAATAAATTGCATCAAAAGTTTACAAAAATTTAGCAAGCATTGAAAAATAGATAACTTAGTAGATGAATAGAAGAATGTCAAACAGGATATGATTATTGAGAGATGGTGAAGGAGTCTTCTACAATTAGTGAAATTGAAAATATTCCTTTTTAAAAGAAAATTGTGAATTTTATCCTATCTTGAAGAGAACTATCATTATTTATTAAATCTTTGACAAATGGAAGTAGACGTTAGGACCTGGCTATTTGGACAAAGGAACAATTGAACATCAAAAAAATAATACTAATAAATCAATCAACACAAATATCAATGTAAAAATTAAAACATAATATGTCAATATCAAAAAAATATATTTATCATAATTATAAGCCCAAACGGTCAGTATTATGATATTTAAAAAAAAAAATTTATAATTTTATATCAATTAAAATTTAATTTAATATTTTGGGAGATTCTACCTAAAAATTACATTTTAGTTTAAAATATATGAATTAAAGCCAATGACTGTTCATAATTTAAGACCAGATTTTGCATAAAATGCATGGTGCTATTTTCAACATCATATACATGCAGTCAACGAGTGTCCACAAATCATTACTTCATTGATTAAATATCAAAATTTTAAAGTGCATATTTTTGCATATTCTAACATTAGTGCATGTTCTGCATATTTTTTCATATTTTAACAACAAATCGTACAAAAATACACCTAACGATCTAAAAAGGTGTTGAGCAAAAAAATCAGATTATAGTACGTTTATATAATATAATTATCAAATATTTTACATCTCAAAGAATATTCGAAAGCTAAAAATAGGTTAGGTTATTATTTTTCCAATCAACATATTACATCAAATTGTTCGTACTTTTTTACTATTTATATCAGTATACCACTAATGTATCTACTATTTAATTTTAATAAAATATTTTTTACACTTTATCAATGATTAAAAATTAAATTGCAATCTAACAAATTACATTATTGTATTACATATTTGTTATATTATACATTTTACTTTTTGTTTATGAAAATTTTAATAAAACTCACAAATAATTATCACTGACAAAATTGAAATCAAATATAAAATGTAATAAAAATTGAAATTTTATTTTGTATCTTTTACATCTTTTTCTTGCATCTTTTGACTTTTTTTTAGTGCATGCATGTCTGCATGCATATTTTAAAATTCAAACTGCATACAAATCTGGTCTTTATTCATAATAGTATAATACAACAATAATGGTATGGTATGGTATCATATCATACCTTAAAGTATATAATTGAATATTACTGATCACCAAATTTTATAATTTTTATCTGGAATCACCCAAAATATTTCACCTCATGAATATACATTAAACATTTTGATTGAAATTGTATTAAAGTAAATACAAATAATATGAAGGAGAATGACCGTTTTTGATGTTGTAATTTAATTTTTGGCATATTATGATAAATATAAATAACAATTTTTGATATTGTATTTTAATTATTATTTTATTTTATTATTATTTATAAATATTAATTTATGTACCATATTTTTTTACATCCTAACAGCTATGTGCATTTGTTTCTGTTTGTCATTTATATGTCTATTCTAACAACAATGTGTATGTGTAGTATAGAAAAGATATTTAGGATGTTAGGTCTTGTTAAAACATGGTTCCGTTTAACAATGTGTGAGAATTATTTTTTGGTTCATGTATGTTAGGTTTACATAGAAAAAAAGTTAGAACTTAATTTAGCAGAAAAAGTTGTTGATGAATTTGGTAAAAAAAGAAGATTGCAATTTGTGTTCAATTATTTGGTAAGTGTAACATGTAAAATGTAATATTATATAATAACTACCTTTAAAATTGTATTGTGATAAATGATAATATTATTTTTGAAAATACACATAATACATTGGTAAATGTTTGAATATTAATACAAATTTAAGCTAACCGCCCTGAATTTTTGCCTGTGAAGTGTGAGTGCCCTTGTTAACAACTGATTCGATATACTATATTACTAATAAATTATTAATAATTTATAAACTGTCATAATAGCAATAAAAAAATGTATTTAGTAATACAAATTAAGAATGCTTACCCATTCAAACAATTGTCGTTTATTATTCCTGGCATATTGGAATTAATTACATGTGAATAACATTGACTAAGAGTCAGTTCATTTAATTTGATGTTTAAAGCATCTAAAACATAAAGTTGATTAAAATTAACAGAAATTATTAATTTGTGTAACTAAAATAAATAGCATACCTAACACTTTTTTTGGAAATGAAGTATTCAAAAAATTTGGATTCCATATAGGCGAATCAACTGCATACACTTCTCGTTCTAATGAATCCATAAATCTTAATCAAAAAAAAAATTAAGTCTTACTATAACACTATTATTTATATAGAAATAAAATGTACTTTTAAGTATAATTACCGTGGTACAATTTTCTTGAACACGCATCTTTTAGTGTAGGTACATTTTTTTGATTCATTGAGACACCAATTGGTGAGAGATGTTCTAAACACCTTTAAGGTGTATTTTAAAATATCCTGGCCAAATATTTTACTGCTTGTATAACTTGGTTTTATTATAGGACGATTGGAAGTGGGAGTAAGACAATACTCTTGGTACCTAAAAAATATCATTGAATTCATCATTATATAATGTATTTGGATACAACATTGTGTGTAGAAAATAATAAATATACTAAATACCTCTGATAGTAAAATTTATAACTGTTATTGTATCTTAATTTATTGGAAGATTGAAGCTTGTCTGGAGTAGCCCATATCCAACTATCAAAGTTGTTTGAAGTTATTTGGGTGATTTTAAATGCAACTTTTAAAAACTAAAACATGTAATTATTTATTATTATCATGGATACTTCAATATATTTCAAATAATAAGTCAATATATTTTAAATTTAAATATAATACAGCTATGATAAAACAAATATTAGTTTGTATAATTTTATTGAAGACTTACATAGAGATTAGGCGAAAACACATACAAGCAAAAATTCTTTAAAACATCAATTATAGTTGGAGACTCAAACGGTGGTTTTTCGATTGAATCTTCAATTGAAATCATGGATTCAGGACTTATATAATGTTTAATTTCCTAAATCATAAAAAACACAATAAATTATTGAAAAATTAGTTTGATAACACCTGATAATATTAATTTAACAATTTCTAATAATAAATGGTCACATTTATTTATTCATCATCTATAAACCATTGCACATGAAGTACCTGATTCATTACTTTAATTTATGACATACTAAGTTACTAAGCTTTTCTTATGTTGAACCTTGACTTAACAATTTACTTACATGATAAATGTAATCTTTACAATGTTTTAGTAAAGAATCTCTTTCAGCATCAGAGGGCAATTTTGACAGATGTTCTATTTCATCTTTTATATTTTCAAAATCAAATATTAATCTCAACAAAGCGTTTAACATTTTTTCTGAAGCATGTACCAAATGTGATACATGATCATCTAATAAAAGAAAACAAAAAATAATTAAAAGTCTTGAGTATATATTAATATAAATATACTATATATAAGCATATTAATAAAGGTTCCGTACAAAAAAGTAAATTATGCATTAAACATAATCATAATCATAAATCACCTGATATCGTTATCATTAAATTTCAATGTGCAAAATGGTAGTAACCATTCATTTTAAACAAAAGACAAATAAAACTATTTTAAATAATTTTGAAAACATCATTACACGATGGGCTCTTTTGTTATATTCCTTTCCTTTTGTTATATCTGTGATCTGTGCTGTGTCTACTCATATCGACTATGTTTCATCGATATTAATTCAAATATAGTTTCATTAAAAAAAGGATTAATCATTTGTTATAATTGTATAACCAGAATAATAAACTAATGATTTTTTCATAATATTGATATATTTTACTGTTAATTTATTAGTAGGCAGCAGACACTAACATAAATTATAGACATTTCAAGTATTTCATGTAGGTAGTTAGTGTAATTAATTATTTTATTCACTTTAAAAATTAATTCATGATATTTCACTTTATTTAACCATACTTAAATATAGAACAGAGTAATATTTAAAAATGTAAAATCAAAATATTTATCTAAATATGATTATGTAACATAATAACATTAATAAATATGTACTTACATAATTTATGGTTACAATGAGATTGGTCGCAAACTGAATTCATTGACGGTTTATCAATTTCCTCATTACAAATCCATCTATGGCAAACACAACTTAAAATCTAGAAATAAATTTAAATATTACAGTATGTAGCTCTACTACTCATCAATATGCAATAATATTAGTTTAAATATTTTTCATACACATTGCACAGACACTTTTAGTGTATGAATAAAATAGTTAGCTAATAGGTAATATTGTAATAATAGTTAACTATTTAAAATAGAATTTAAAGTTTTGATGGGCTACAAGCAGTGGCAGCTCATTTACATGTGCACAAGTGCAAGTGCCTACCCAAACTCAAGAAAAATTTTAAAATTTTAAAAATAAATCATAATAATACTACATGTTTCCAAATATGAAAATATAAATAATGAAATTCAGAATATGAAAATAATATAATATTTGGATTGGGTTATTGGAAGGCCAAATCGTTGGGCGGTTGTCCAGGCTGGAACGGTGTTGGTCTGTATAGTATTGGAGCGGTGCATAAATTGTGTACAGTGTAAAAATTTAAACAAGTGAAAGCACGCAACCAGGGATATAAATTATAATGGAATTGATGTGCACATTAGTTTCCAATTAAATTAAATAAGCCAAATAAATTTTTTCAGCAAATTATTTTTAATGTCGCCATCGAGCATCGGCATCATATTTATTTTTACTCTCACTCGTCTATTAATATATGTCCTTAAATATTCAAAAATTTAAAAAGAAATACATAAAAAAACGAGCCAATGTGACACTTAATGTCTACTGCCGATAAAGATCCCACTTTTCTTGTTTAATTATTTTTGCTTTCATTTAAATTTCTTTAAAATTTTGCATTTTATTTAACATTATTATTGTTATAACGTCAACTGCCTAACTATTGTTATTATATCAAGTATGTATTTGCCTATTTTGTATTCTAAGGGTACTACCTATAATTCATTGTTAATAAACAAATTAATTAATTAATTAATAAAATTAATAAATATATTAATAATGTACCCATATCATGTTTAGTATCAATACTGGGAATTCGTTTGTACAAAATTAAAACGCTGACTACCTGTAAAAATGTATAATATAGGTAGGTACCTAGTTAACGTGCGATTAACATTTATCTATTTACAGGCTACAGACACACAGACTCAAAATGTTTAATAAGCTAACCTATGACAAATAATAAAAATACACATAATAATAACTATCGTACCCGACACGGCATATAATTTGCGATCTTAATAAGCTTAGTCATTCTAGGTACCGCCACCACAATCTCCAGATTACGCTGTCTGAACGACAAAATCGTATCGGTGATATCGTCCATTTCCCTGTAGTTACTTAACAAAGAACAAGCAACAATACTTTGACGCTGTTTTAGTTGAAAAGTTCCGTTGTACCAGCCACCAGGTTAATTGTTTTGCGGACAAACAGGTACGAGCCGTATGCGTGACGAGTGTATGTATGGCAGCCGTACAACTATAACAAATACAAATTATTACAACAATGCACATTATACAATATTTGTAGCACTCAGACATCAATAATAATACTTAGGTACACGCCGCTTGGCAGTTGGTAGGTATAAATGTATGGTATTATAGTGCAAGTGTGCAACCAGTAACCACAGCACCGGCCGGCACCAAACAATGGTAGATAAGTCTCCGTAAGAAGCAACAAGCGTCGTCGAGGTACAAAATATATGTTGGTATATTTACGTAAATAGATAACGAATTGTATGATAAGGAGACAAGCAGGCCGAACCGCGGAGCTTCAAGATTACCGACAGAGATGGTGAGTAGGTACAGAATGGACTATGAAACGTAAACGAAAAACTTAATATGACCGGCCAATGACTTGCCGTCGCTAACTCGCAACTCACTATACTCAGCTGGAGACGTGTACCGCGTAAATACGTTGTCAGCTGCAACCTACAACACCGCCCGTCGCGTTTGTTCAAAAAACACCTGTATAGGCGGCGCTCGACTGAGGCGCGCATACTCCTCCGACATCATTCCCCGGACGGGTGTACGTCCGCAGCAGAATCGGCTGACAAGCGGCCCGAGCAACCTTCGGTGCCACCTCCCCCTTCTCGCCACCGTTCACTGCGGCCTCGCGCTCCTCCCAGGATACAAACAAAATGGCGTGATTTCTATATCCCTGATTTGGGTCAAGTCTGTTCGATACCCTTACGCAGTGGCGTAGGGGGGGGGGGGGGTTAACTCACAAAAATTGTTTAATATTGACGATGTTTTCATTAATAAATTATTTTCAGATAAAATTTGTCAACAATTTGTTTAACCCTCCAAAAAAAAATTCTGGATACACTGCCCCTACGTACTTATTTGTGACTTCTCGCACCTATCGAAGGACCCGGCTATCAAAAAGTTACGGAAATACCAAATTATGCTATGTCGTTCATATCGTGGTCTGTCCGGTGTGATATGACATTAAGTTATAGATAGTGCTCGAATTGGGTGGGTGCATAGGTGGACGAACTTCCACTACGTTCTATTTTTTTTTTTGCCTAGACCACGGGATGGAACAAACTAACACCCGAAATCATTTTTATTAAAATGTGGAGCAATTCGAGCACTGGTTTAAAGACACTGTTCAAATGGAAACAAAATATTCAGCTTGTAAACTTATATTCATATAATGTATTTTAACATTACCTGCTTATTGTCAATATTGACTTATTAATAATATTAAAATTATGGCATTATAAAGTAAATTATGATATTAGCCAAGCTCTTTTGAATAATGCCATACAAGAAATGATAAAAAATTTGAATTAGTAACTTGGCATCAAACACAAGATAACACAAGATTGATCATCACATCTTGTTTAATAGGTAATACTGTGCACTAAATTGATTAATTATATATATAATATATTTATTAAATTAATTGTATTTAACTTAATATTCTACAAAATAATAAAAAGATAAAATATTACAAATACATATCTACAAATAAAGAAAATTTTATTCAGAAAAATCAAAGATTTATTGACTTTAGATACAACTATTATACCATACCAGTTTAATCCCAGTTTATTTTATTAATATAGTACATAAGTGTCTAGTTGGGTCCCTATTTTTTTTGGTAAATATGGCTTTGCGTCTTATGGACGCGTCACGTTAAACGGGACAAAATAAATTGAATGCATACGAAAGTTAATTATTTTTCAGATGTAAGTACAACGTAATTTTTTAAAAATGAATCTCTTTAAAAATGTACATGAAATTCACACGGACATTTTAGATTATTATTATAAAATCAAAAGTTTATAATGTTTTAACAAACTAACCTACTAATTAAGAACAGTTAAATGTAGGATTGTAGCGAACATTTATATAAAAATAATATAGATAGCCCGGTTATATGATATAAATATTACCTGTATCAAAAGTGATTCGAAAGAGATATTTCTCAACCTTTAAGAGAATAAATATATACAATTTTGAATTTCTAAAGGTCGTAACTCCATTTTTTTCGATTTTGGAATTATTCGAGATAAAAACAAAGAAAAAACGTATCGTATGATAAGGTCTTAACCCCAATTTTATAATTTTATCCTCTACTATCTTAGTATAAGGTCTATGAATTAAATTTATAATTAGAAATCGTGTAATAAATCGTGTAATATATTATCGGATAATGTATTATTGAATATGATGGATATACGACCTTATGACTATACGAATTTAGGAATTAGACAGACTAAATATTTGAAACGTGTTTTGCCTCTCTTGTAAAATTCGCCATTTTGGACTAACTACCTTTACAATTTAGGCCGACGATATAATTTATTATTATTATTATTAAGCATATAGTGGACAACTAAAAATTTAATTTTTTATGTATCCATCTCCCCTATCATGAATCCTATATGTTTACCAAAGAAGGCTGTAAAAACAGAAACTTAAAAAGTTTCCAAATAATAAAAACAAAATATAAACGTCTAATATTTCGTTGTAGCCTTGTAGGTCATTAAAGATATGCTCTCCTTTTGATTGACTGTAACTGTATTATAATTAAGTGATTGTGTTGTGAGTAGTCACCCAAGTTCACACTTAATTCAATAACTATCAAAAGACGATGATGACTACCACAGTGTTGCTAAGTTATGACTTACGACTAAACGCTCGTCAAATAAACCAGAGCATCCCACTTGCGCCCATCACACCATTTTTATAGCCCATATTTGTGGTATATAATTTGTACTACTATAATAGTAAAATATTACTTTTTTCGTAAAAGTAGGCATACTTTAATGGGTTTGAACACTTTTTTATTACTTTACTTAATCAGTGCTTGTCCTGAGAGAGGATACGCAAGGGGACTGAGTTTCTCAAACTAAGATTGAAAACAAAATATGTTTGTTTATAATGTTAAATCTATTTTGGCAATACCGTTACCGTTAGATAAGGTTGGGCATCTTCTGTGGTGTCTACTTAATCATCCTTACATGTTTCTTATTTTTATTAAAATATTTAATACTGATTTCAATATCTTAGACAAAAAATATACATACATATAGGAATAAACAGCTAAATTAATTTAAATATAAGATATCATATGTTATCATTGATTCATTCAAAAAAATAGGCGCATGTAATCGGTACTAATTGCTTGCAAAAGCCTACCACCTAGTACGCTTATGGTTGAAACCTTTAAACTAAGTATAATACTTTATGTTAAGGAGGTATGTATGGTTGGTTTGTGGTAGTATAATATTATGATGAAGCTCTCATTATATTACGTATTTTGATTTAAAATTATCAATTAATATTCAGCATAAAAATTACAAACTTCCAAAATTGTTTTGCTGTTTATTCTATTGGCTCTTTGTGGTGGGCCTATAATACGTCCTCTGACATAAATAATTCGGAAGGGTAAGATAAGACATCGAAAGACGAAGGTGGTGAAAGGTCAGACACGTGTCTGTTTTCGATGCTATAGTATTGATCCACTCCAAAATAAAAGGGGTGGCTAAACCCACAATTGGGTTGAGTGCACGAGGAGAAAGATAGGGACGAGCTATATACATTGAAATATCGTGTGGTTTATATATTACATATTTATTTTTTTACACTCATAGTATACAAAACTAATAATATATATTATTGTACCAACCTAATGATTATTTATACATAGGCCGATGAAGAAAGCATATTCAGGGACGCACCCAGGATTTTTTTTGGAGTGGGGGACTAAATTCAAATCGTTTTCATATATGAATAGCAATAATATATTGCAGTTGGATATTTATTCAAACACCTGTATGCCTTTAAATTGGCCGCTCATAGAGGAAAAGCCATCTTAGCCTTATCCACGTAAAAAGTTTTAATCAATCCCAAGATTGTTTAATGTTTCTAACAGGACATCTGATAAGTTTTAATGAATTGTAGATAGAACAGGAACAAATTTCAAAAATTGCTCAACAATTGTGTACTCATTATTCCTCATTAATTCAACAAATCTTACACATAAAGAAAATTGTTCTACGGTTGCTACGTCTGTAGTTGCATCAAACAAGAAGGAAAAAAATTTAGTTTTATTAATTTTAGTAACTAATTTTTGAATAATAATTAGATCAAAAGCTTCAATAATTTGATTTTGTATATTCCAGCTCATATAAGTAGCATTTTTACCACAAGTTTAAAAATGCTTCCTTAAACTTTCATCGTGTAATTCTATTCTTGCCCTCAATAAAGCACGAACTTTTCTATCATTTTTCTCGGGCTCTATTTTTGTATCAAAAACTCCATAATCTTCATGCGATCTTAAAGACAAATTTTGACACCAACATAAAATCACTGTTTTTATAATTGGTTCAAGTTTTACTGAATTTTTTGGTCGTGTTTTTGAGAAACTTTATCAATTTGTTCATAGGTTGGTAGCAATATTCCACCCATGATATCAATAAAAGTATCATATTTTAAAGTAGCATCTTTATGATAATTTAAAAGTAAATGTTTTTCAAATCGTTCTAAAGCATTTTTCCAATTATATTATCCTGTCTTTACCAATTGACTAAGTGGCTGTGAAGAACAGTAACCAGTATTCGAAGGGCGGCAAATAAGACACACGTCTATAACAATAGTTACTATTTTCCAATTTCGAATACCCAAACCATTCATATTTTGTTAGCCAAAATCGATCAAATTTTCTATTTTGAGAACCTATATGTTAAGTTTTAAAAGTATAACTATTACCGGGAACCCACATATTTTTTTGTTTACTTATAAACATATATCATATTGTAGTACTATGTTATTACCCGATTACCGTCATCTAGATGAACATTACATTCATTTGATGTAGCAGTATTATTTACTGTCGATGAATTGTCTATAGCGGCTGCATATTGTTTTTGGACTTGTGGTGTGGTGTGTGGCTGAACTTTAAAATGATTTAATAATAAACCAGAATGATGACGTTTCATTGCATTGAAATCTACTTATTTGAATCAACAAAATACAATAAACAACTAACAAAAAATAAATAAATAAGTTATTGAAAAACCAAAGATGTCGACTTGAATAGTTGTCCGACAATACTAGTAACTATAATATTAAATAAGTAATAAAATGAAAGTTGAATTTATCAACGCAACGATATGTCTGCGATAAACCAAATTGTACTGATACAAATGTAATATAAGTCGTTTCCGGTAATCTACACAGTTTCGACTAACGACGTGGCGTCGATAATAATAGACAACAGAGGTGGTCTCTCCTGAGTCCTGAGAACCAGAATAACAGGTATAAAAATTTATATATTATATTATATCTAATGTTTCAATTTCGATAGTTGATTATTTGTTTACATAATAATTTTAAAGTCAATATATAGCTAATACAATTATCGAATTGTTAAGGGTAATATTTTTTTTTTTTTGAAGGGAAAGTACATATGTACAAGAATTTCGTTTATTTATTTATTCGTCTATAGGT